GTATATCAATATTTTTATTAATTCAGAAAGATTCGTGACAAACAATTCTCTTAATATAATTTCAATAAAAAAATTATTTAATTTCACTACATGTTATGATATGTCAATTCAAAAACTCTAAATCTTAATATAGGTTAACACAACCAAACAACAAAGTATTTTCCATCATTTGTAATATTAAAACAACAAACTTCTTTATGGCATTCTAAAGGTTAAAAAACCTATTAAAATTTACCATCCTCCAAGTTATTTCTGAAAAAATAAAAATATTTATGATGCTTTATTACTATTAATTAAGTTGGAATATTAAAAATATTTAAAATTCTTATGGTTTCTCATCAAGATTTTAAGCTTCAAAATCAAATACTTACTACCTTTGATATTAATCTTTTACTAATTTATAGCCTTCTATCTATCCTTAAGATGTTTTACATATTATTTAATTATCCATAAGGAATCTAACACCTCTATTTATTTCTTAAATTGATAAGAGGATAATATTTTTAAATTGCCATTTTAAATTTTAGTTCTTTTCCCATAAAATAACTTATTAGTCTTCACCCCAAGAAATCAATTATTATAAGATTTATTTAAACTTATTGATAATACTTAATATTAATGTTTCTCAGGAGAATCAAATAATTTAATATAATTTTAATCATATGAAATTCTCCAGATTTTAATTGTTTTATCAATACTACAAGATATCAATTCATTCTCTTATATGTTTAAAAGTAATTAAATTACCCAATTTGAAGTCTTTTGTTAGCTTTCCTACTCTCTCATTTTGTTGAAGAAAACCACCCTATACTAACTTGTATTAAATCTAGTTAGATTGTTTTTTTTCTGCATAATCAGATTTTAATTGTAAATTCAATTGCTTAAAAAAACCATGAGAAAAAATAAATCCAACATTAAAGCATTTTAAGCCTTAAGCAAAGATTCCTACAATAAATTTGTTGTAAGTTAGATTTTTTTTTCATATGAGTAGTTAATAGTTTAAATAACTCTTTTAAATTCATCAATTTATTTATTTCTTATTTTCCAAGATAATTATTTAAAATACTTAGAATTCTTTAGCTAGAATCAGAAATTATGTCAAGGATATTTTTACGTTCTTAAATTGTTTATATTGCTTCGTCAATATTAATACCATTAAATCGTCCTTTTATATCATTTATGCATTATGAACAGATTAATCTTTAGGCTCGTTTAAGATTATTATCAAGCAGTACTATGCTCGGTGGACTATCATGTTAATTGTAACATTAAATTTAGTCGATCTTTTCCTGCATATTGCATTTTAATTATTACTTCATAATTGTGTTTTTGGATGATATTATTTTAGAAAAAGAAAAACTTCGATCAATTACCTATTTATCCTTATTCATCATATTTTCCTTTTATTCTAATAAGATCTTTGTTATCTCTAAAAATATTTCATTAATAATTTAATTGTCTTTGGCTGATACTTTAAAAAATTCTTTAATTTCATTTTATAAGCACCATTACTCAATAAGATAACTGTTGATTATTTTACCATTTTTTTTAAAGTCATTTAGATGACAAAAATAGGAAAATTTTCTGGATCTTCTTTGTGGCTTTATTAATTCCAATAATCTAAAGTTTTTATCGGCTCGCTTTCGCTACTCTTAATGACTATGATAAGGCAATCTATAAATCTATAAAAAGGGTATAAATATGGTTAAAATTTCTCCATACCTGAAGTATCCCAAATCTAAAGTTAAATTTAATATTACTTAAAGAGAGACAATTTAATTATTAATCTTTACAACTTTTTTACTTTATTCTACACCTATTGTTGCTACTGGGATTTAAATTTTAGAAGCTATATATTGTTATATTATAGATGTTTTACCAACGCTAAATAAAAATTAACAAATAAAGTTACCCAGATGATCCAATGAGAAGTATTTTAAAAGCTAATTATGACTGAGTTGACATCGTTATTTTTATTTATTAAATATATTAAGAATAATATCTCAATTACATTCGAATTCTAAAGTAAAATCTGTGCATCCTAAATTATAATAAATTGAATGATGAATAGATGAGGGTCATAAGAAATCGAAGAATTCTAATAGGATAAACCTAAAGCTAAACCTTTATCATTCTTTGTAGATACATAGATGTTTAGAAAATTGAGAAAGATATTTGCAAATTTTCTAAAATTCAATCTATTAATCAAATTAATCTTATTCAAAACAATTACAAAATAAATCTTATAATAGCATGGGTTATATTAATTGTAATGATTTCATTAATATTTTAGATATTTATAAAATTACTATCTACCAAATCTAATACAATAAATTTAATTAGCTTTTTCAAATTTCAAACACTAGAAAGGGTTTTGGAAGAACCGCTTAAATGAATTTTAATAAAACTTAGAGAAAAAGAATCGTAATGAAATGTTAGAATTAATTTTGATATTGTATCATGGAATTCTAACCCTTTAATTTTTTATTGAACTCCATTTTTACCCAGGTACTTACTTTTTATCCTGTCATATTAGATTCACCATTATATTCATCCAATTCTACCCACATTCCAATCTTTATCTAATTTCCACCGTTATCATATAATCCGTCACCACTATATATTCCTTAATACTTTTATAATATTTACAGTTATTCATATCCTCTTCAATTAAACCAAATATTCCATCTACCTACCTTCATACCATTCATATTATCTTCCCCATTATAAGTGATGTATTTATTAGGATCAATCCATTCCTCCAATTCTATCGATCTTCCAATCTTTTTCTATTTTCCTTCTTAATCATATTATCCATCACCACTTTATGTTCCCTAATATTTTTATAATATTTACATTTGTTTATATCCTTCCCAATTAAACCAAATATCCCATCTACCTACCTTCATGCCATTCGCATTATATTCACCGTTATAAGTAACTTACTTATTCCATTTAAATCTCTCATCCAATTCTACGCACTTTCAAATCTTTTTCTAATTTCCATTTTAATCATATGATCCATCACCACTACATAAATTCCCTTACCATTCATAATATTATTTTGACTATTCAACAAACGCTTAATTCAATTCTATCTGCATTCCAATTTTTTTTTAAACACCTTCTTAATAAAAATAATGTGATCCTTCGCCATTGAAACAATACATCATTCTGTTGTAATAAGTACACTTCCACTTCCTATCCTTTTTATCTTTATGGTACTATCTTTAATCAAAAACAAAAAATTTGCTAAATAGATTTAGAAATTTCTCTTACTTGCAATAATTCTTACTTATTACTTTCCACAAACCTATCTTTTAGCCAATTTTTGAGTAATAGCCTCCAACATTTTATAGAATTTTTCTATCCTAATTGACACTCCACATAGTAAGCCTCTATATTTTATCTTAATTTCCTACTCTTCCAAGACACCCTATTTTTTCTACATTATTGAAAAGTTAGAGCTAGAAAGTTGAAGAATTTTTTCTTCTATAATATTGTTTTAATAAATTTACTATATATCTTGAGATTCTTCTGATTAATTTGATTATACTTCAAATCTATTCTTTGGCAAAATTTCTTCCTGATCAATTGATATCTTTTATTAATGTGAAAGATTAATTCCCATTTCCATAATTTTTAACTAATAGAAAAAGTACAATATTATAAATTATACTAGTATATAAAAATAATTGTAAAAACTTAGATTTCATTTTAAATAAAAATCATACAAAATAAAAATATTCCATTCTACTCATAAACCTTGTGAAAAATCCTACATTTTAATTATAAAAATTAAATTTTAAGTTTGAAATTGTAAGAAGGATCATTAGAACTTAAAAAACATAATATTCAATACAATCATCATATATATCAATGAAAAAAGAAAAGAAATAAAAAATGAATGGATTAATAGGTAAACCTAAATCTATGACGTATATGCATACCACAAATATAATTTCAAGGTGTTTTGTAAACTTATTTTATTTTTTAAATCTATTTAGTAATTTTTCATTTTTTTCAAAATTTTGGTAATCAAGGTAACGTTCATCATTGACTTTTACTTATTTATAAAAATTGGCCCTAAATGATTTGAGAATTAAATGTTACAACAATTCAATAAAGATTCATGAGACTTGTAGAATGGTGACAGGCACATGAGTAATTAGAGAAACATTTTTAGTTGAACATAATATGAGAGAAAATGATGGAATTATCTAAATGAGAGGAATTACATCAAATCAAAAGGCAGTGATTTTTTGAATGAGAAATACAAAAAAACAAAAATAATTTCATAAGCTAAGTGAAAACTGAAAATTTTTGTAAATTTATATTCATGCTTTATATTAATATTTTTTATTAAATATAATTATAATACATATTTGAGAATGATTAAATATCAAATAATAATAAAATTGAATATATATTAAATTAAAAAATTAAATATCTTTTAAATATCCTATGTCATTAGAATAAGGAAGAAAAATATCTTCAAAACCTTAAATGGAGACTACAACAGTAGATTTAAAATAATCAATCACTAAAGAAGACAAATACCTTTGTATGCAATGTTTAATCGAAAAGATTGACATTTAAAATATAGTTTTAGTGGATGAAACTAAAGTAATGATTCAGGAGATGAAGTAGGAATAATATTCACTCAAAATTAAATAAACATAGAAAAGAATCGAAACATTTATATTAATCCAAAGTTAGATTAAAGAATTCAAAGTCTAAGTAGAAAATGTAATTGAAAAAATATTAATTAATATTAATGAAAAAATATAGTTGTTAGAAAAGAATTTGGCCGAATATGAGTCTCTTAAAATTATAAAAGAGGTTTAAAATAAATGTTTCCTATAGAATTTGATAATATTGAAGATGATAATCAAATCTATAATTCTATATAATAAATGTTTTAATCATTTACAAATAATCAGCTATACAATTAAGTTATTGATATATTATAACAAAATTAAAAATTTTTAAAGCCAAAAGAAACTAAAGAAACAAGTATTTTTAAAGTAAAAGAATTAGATAAATCAGTAATTATTATATAAATATTTAGAAAACACCATCACTCAATATCAAATGTCCTAAACATGGAAAGGAGATAATAATGCTGAATTTTAAAGTAAATGAAACTTAAACTTCTAGATTAGCATTTGTTGATTGTATTCACTATAACAAGCCTATTAAATATACTTCATTATAAGATGCTGGTATTATATGGGATGAGTTTAAAAGTAGCGCTTAGGATAGAATTAAAACATTTTAAAATTAAAGATTAGTGAAATAAGAAGGATTATTTAAAATCTTAAAGAAATGAGAGAATAATATACATCAATCTTAAACCAATTGATTTTAAAATTAAATAATGAATAATCATCAATCCAATTAATATAATAAAATTAATAAAATCAAAAAGATATTTATGAATTCAATTAAAAATAAATAGAAGAACTTACTTTGATTTTAAGTAACTAAGATAAATTTAAGGTATTATAAGATTAACTTATTAAAATTGAAAAAGAAAATTTAATTCAATTTAATTTAATGTTTAATAATCTTTTTAGTTTATTAGAATAAGAATTATAAAAAAGAAAAGATGATATTATAAGGAAGATCTAAAAGTTTGATGCTACTTTAAATAACTTTACAGAAATACGAGAAGATTTTAATAATTGTAAACTACTCTCTTTTCTATATTTTTAGAGATTTCTTAAATTGCTAATCTAACTTAACTATTGAAGGATAAAGAAAGTGAAACTTCAAAACTTAATCTATAATTATAATAAACTCAAGATTAATTGATATTACTATAGTTGAAAATAGTATGATTATAAATTTTA